CCATGGGGGAGGCCTGTCAAGCCAAGCACAGGGATGACTAAGGGTTCTGAGGCCCTGGCCCCCAAGGGTAAGAAAGGCTGACAGGGTGAGCAGCACCACAGTGGGATCCACGCAGTGTCCCTGGTGCCTGCCTGGGGTACAGAATGAGGGCCCGAGAGCATGGCTCTTTCCCTCCCAGCTCTTCTGTCCTCCGCGGGAGGCTGTGCCTGGCCAGCCATTGTTCCAAGGTTTAAAAATAAAGGCTTCTTGGCCTGGGCCCTGCTGGCGGAGGGGAGGGGGCAGCACCGTCCTAGGCCTGAAGGGCATCTGGCTGGCAGAGGGGGCCTCATCCACTCCACCATCACCCTGGCTGGCAGGAGAGGTGTTCTTCAGAGAGTAAGCAGCACCCAGTTTCTCCCGCCAAGGAAGGCACCAGCTGTCGGGGTCAGGGTGCACTTCCCCTCACTGAGAGCTCCAGCACCCTGGGCCCAATGAAGGGGACATGAGCTCCCCCAAAGCTGCCTTTTACTCCTCACCCATTCACCTAAGAATAACAATGTCCCACTATCCCCTGTGGCTTAGACACCACCATTAGACGGATGAAAACCAGGACTCAGAGAAGCTTAGAAACCTATCCAAGGCCACACAGCTGACCAGGGGAGGTCTGCTGAGTCAGGGTCCTGAGTACCCCACCGCCCCTCGGCACTCAGGGAGTGACACCTTCTTTGGGCTCCCTTTCCACCAAGGAGCACTTGAAAGGAAGCAATACCTCTGGGGCCTGGAGTGTGCCAGAGCCTGAGGTGGGGGTCTGTATTCACCCCAACTCCTGTTGCAGGGGTAGGGGAAGACCCTGAGGTCCAGAGCAGCCTTGGTTCACAGCTTTGTCCTCCCAGTATCTGAGGGGTGCACACAAGGCAGCAACGTGGAACAGGAGTCAAGGGTAAACTGAGGCACTGAAGAGTGGCTGGGTACTAGCGGCCCGCCCTGGAGGATGGTAGGTTGAAAGCAGGCAAAGGGCTCCCCTGTGCTCCCCACCCCCGCTCATGGCTGCCAGCCCTCCCATTCCAGGTGAGAGCTGGTCATCCCCCGTCCACCCCCAGGCCTCTGCCCAAGCTGGCACGCTGGTGCTGGCACTGGAAAGTGTCATTTCGGCACCCACCCCACCCCCGTCCCCACCAAGCCTGGATTCTTGGCAGAGCAGAGCAGGGGTTTCAGGGCGATGCTCAGGGTGGAAGTGTGGGGAGGATTTAGGGAGGGACCAGGTAGGAGACAGGACAGGACGCCCCCACCCAGGGATGGCAGAGCTGAAGGAGGGTGAGAAACACTTCTTACTACCTATTGTCAAAAGCATTCCAAGCAGAGTTCTGATTGTCTGTGTGACCTTGGGCAAGACACTTGCCTTCTCTGGGCCTTAGTGACTCACAAAAGGACTGAAGCAGGCAACTCCTGAGGGTGCCTTCTAGCGAACAGTTGAGGACACTCAGGTTTTATCAGTGCAAGCTCCTGTGACTTCAGCCCTCGGGCTTCCTCTAGCCCATCTCTAGCAGCAGCCAACTCGTCCTTCTAAGACTGTGAGTCAGGCGCCCTGCTGGGCATTGGTGGGGGCGGGGCTCAGGCAAGTCCGAAGCTTCTTCCCCTTCTGGCCCCCCCCTTCCTGCTGACCCACCAGCGCCTGTCCCTGTCCCTGACACCTCCCTGCAGCCACACCGTCCTCCTGGCAGTGCCTCGACCCAGCCAAGTCTCTCCTCTGCCCTGGAGGGCTTAGCCCCACCCAGGTCTTCGAATAGTTCTTTCTGGTCATCCAAGCCTCAGCTCAAATGTCACCCGTCGAGTGGCCTTCTCTGACCCCTTTATCCACCCCGTGTCTCTCTCACACTTGTTATTTGTCTCCTTTATGCCACTTTTTTTACAGCCGAGACTTTTTTGCCTTGATTATTTACTTGCTAGCTGTCGCTCTTCCTTGTGGACTGTCACCGCTGGGAGGGCAGGGACACACCCCCAGCACTGGCCCAGCTCACAGCAGGCTGTCCATAAGACACTTTGGTGTAGTTGGGCAGGAGGGAGGGAGGAGTATTTACGACCTCTGATCCCCTGGAGGTTTGGAGCTCCCCGGAAAGCAGTGTAGCCCCAATCCTGGAAACCCCCTGGGTCTGACCCCCGCCAGGCCGTGTTGCTGGGTGACCTCATCACTGCAAAAGGAGGGCAGAGGGGGAGGAAGTGGAGGATGCATGAGATGGGCCAAATTTAGAGCATTTGATTCAGCCGAGGCGGGACAGTATTCCTGGAGCCCCCATTGTTTGTGAGGGGTCAGAGGGCAGGCTGTCCATTGAATGGGGTCCTGAGCCATGCCAAGCCGTCTGGGCACGTGGGCTGGGGGCCGGGGTGCGGCTGTTCCCGCTGGAAAAGCAGCCAAGCCAAGGGTTCGGCAGGGTGGGTGGAGGATGGGCTGCCCTGCAGTCAGGCAGCGGTGGGAAGGGGTGCCGCTCAGGTAGGAAGGGGGTTTCAGCTGTCCTGATAACCAGCCAGAAGCTGTGTGACCACCCCACAACTGCGGCAGCCATTTTTCTCCACCCCACCATGCCATTCTCTTGGCTTGGACTTAGGAATGGAGCTGCCAAAGGCCACGTGGACACCCTGGTGCCCCTATTCACGGCCTAGGACAGCAGCACCAGCTGTGCCCTCTGCCCACACCCTCCCACCAGGACAGGTGCCGTGGACTCCTTCCCTGACACAGCCCTGCCGTCCCTGACTGGGCCAGGCAGCCGCGGGTGACATGAGGCTCGGCCTGCGCAGGCTCCAGAACCCATTGCCATGGCAACCTGGGGTCCAGGCCTGTGTGGTGCCGGAGATGAGCCCGAGCCAAGGGCGTGGAGGGGAGGATGGGGCCGGGCTGGCTTCTGACCCCTGGCCTGCTGGAGCTGGGACTGGGCCTCAGCCTGGCAGAGCCACCTGGCTAATCCCACTGGTCCTCGAGGGTGTCCTGTTTCTGTGCCCACGCATAACCAGGCAGCCAAGGGAAGGTGCTGATGGGATTGTCCTTGATTCAGGGCCACCTGGTAGGCAAAAGACCAGCAGGCCAAGTGTCTGGGGCCTTCTGGCTGCTGTCCAAGTCCCCTGCTCGTGTCCCTCAAGTATCACGGAGGCCCAAGAAATGCCTTGGGACACGCAGCCTGGAAATGAGGGGAGGGGAGCAGAAATCCTGATGTGTAACAGGCACGGACAGAGGACTCCTGATGCTCAGAGCGTGGTCCCTGCCCTCTCTCCTCCTCCCGTCCCCAGGAGTCCTTGGAAGCCACCCTCCTCATGCTCTGGATGAGGAAACTGAGGTCTGAGCCAGGCTCCTTGGGTGGCACGGCAGCTTTGCCCAGTGGCCGGGGCCTGCCCAGCACGGGTCCCGGGAACCGCGTCTCCCTCCCAGGCCCCCTGCCCTGCCCTCCGCTTGATTTCACATCATGACTCATGTTATCATGTTCTCGGGGCTGAGTAACCACCTGAGTTATTTATACTCTGGCTTAGCAGGCTTCCTTCCCTCCTCCCAGCCGAGCCCAGGAGGACGAGGTGGGGGTGGCAAGGAACCTGGGAGGGGGGATGCAACTGAGCACCCCCACATCCCCTCCCCTGGGGCACCACCCCCGTAAAGGCACCCAAAATAACCATGACTGCCCCAGCACAACAGGATGGGCCTGGATCTATGGCATCGATACCTAGATCAGGATGGTATGGGGAGGGGGGAATTCCTTTCCCCAGCTAGTCATCCGTCTGGAAAAATAAAGAAGGAAAAAGCTGAAAAATTTCCTTCCATCAAAACAGGAAGGAGCTGGGGAGGTGGGGGTGGACGGGAGATGAGGGGTGGAGGCTGAGATGCGCCCTCTACCCTGAGGTGGTCTTCAGGGTGGAGGGCCCTGGAGTCCACACACAGGACCCACAGGGCTGTGTCCTGGGTGTCTCCCGCATGGGTGGCCTGACACCCAGGCCTGCATGGTGTGCAACACATCCCCAAGCCTCACCCACCCTCCCCACACAGTCACAGGACCCACTGAGTGCAGTGTCCCAGTCAACCCAGGTGGGCAGAGAGGGCATCTGTCCACCGTCTTCTCCCTCCCCTTGAGCACTGCCCTGGGAGTCCTGTGACTCAAGGTCAAGCCCACCTCCATCCATCTCTCATCTGCAGAGTGACCCTAGGGAAGCCACTGTCCCTCTTTGTCATTTGTCTATGACAGGGCTGTGCTTGTGGCCAGGCTGCTACCTGCGCCCAATCGTGGGGACCCTAGGGAACTGCACCTATGGCTTCCCTTCCCTGACAGACCAAACGTGCTAGGCACTTTCTCTCATTCGTGCATCGGCCACTCGATTAACCCCATCTCCAGACTCAGCAGGTTCCAGAACTGCACTCACCCAGGTCACATGACTGGGATGGCCAGGACACAGTGGGAACTGTTTTCACCCAAGGAAGAACGAAGGAAGCTGTGTCAGAGGCCCAGATGGAGAAGAGGCCCATTTTCCCTGGGCCTCTGCCTCGCATCAGGGACCACTGGGGACAATCTGGTGGCTTTGCACGGATGGGCCAGTGGCTGGGGGTGTGTGCACCCGAGGACACTGTGCCCAACCGTGGGGGTTACCACTGAGGCCATTAGTCACTCCCGCTGGGCTGCCCTCTGTCTTATGTAACCGTGCCTCAGGGTGTCTGTGCAATTGTCTGGTCTGTCTGTCTGTCTGCACACCTGCCTGCCTTGGCCTGTAGGCCCTGGAGGGCAGGGGGCTCTGGAATGTCGAGCTGGTACTGATGTGCCCAGTTCTTCATGAGGATACTCTTATGGGCACCATGCCCATCTGTACGCTCCCCCATCAGAGGGTGTCTGGACCCCTTATTCTACAGGCAAACCTTGCACTCTGCTCTTCCAAGCACAGGACTCAGTTTTATCATCTATAAAATTGTAATAATATTACTTTGCCTAGATTGTTGCCCAGTTTCAGGGGTTGCTGCATGAGTAGGAACCATAAAAAAAACACTGTTTGACTTTTAAAAAGTATTTATTCATTTACTGGCTCACAGTAAAAGCAAGAGGGAGATACAGAAATACCTCCGTGGGAGAAGTGAGCATGGGCTGGGGAACTGGGCAGCTGTCTCCCCCATTCCTGGCAGACGGGTAGAGAGGTCACCAGGTGATGCTGGCACTTGCTGCGTGGGTTCGAATCCCAACCCTGCCTGCTCTGATCCTACCCTTGGCAAAGCTGCCGGAGGAGGCCTTGGTTTCCCCACTTATAAAGGCCACCAGGGCTCGACTCCTGCAGCGAGCCACACAGCTCATGTGAACAAACGCACTCTGGGGCCTTGGAGCAACTGCCTGACACACCAAGCCCGAGAGCCTGCTTATGAATATTGATGAAAGATTTGTGACTTTTATGCTGTGGCTGGCTTCCCGTTCTTTTGACAGGCCCGCCATGTTCCCGGCAGTTACAAATAGTTCCCTCTGGCAAGCTGGTCCCCCACCAGGAGGGGCTGCCTGCTACCTGCCTGCCCCACTTCCCCCCTGCCAGGATCCTCAGAACCCCCAGAAAGCACATCCTGGTTGGGGAAGGGTGCACTGACCCACACTAGCCTCCCACACCTGGGGGCAGCGACTGGCCTCCTACTCTGGGGAGACAGGTGAGTCCTGGCCCCAACCCTCATCCCAGCCCGGCACCATCTCTCCCGTGTGACTCGTCCACTGTCCAAACCATGACAAGCCAAAGGCCGGGCAGCTCTGATCCAGGCCATGGGGGAGGCATCACGAGATGGAGCTGGCGGAAGTGTGGGCTCTGGTGTCACAGTCTTGGGTCCAAGGCTGGCACTGCTACTTCCTTGCTGGGTGAAGCTAGGCAAGCTATAATGTTGCTGTGAGCCTCAGTCACCTCCCTCCCAGTGTGAACAGGATCAGGGCACCAGCCAGCAGGGTGTGCAGGGAAGCTTCAGCAGGCCTCCTGTCCTTGCCAGGAAAGGGTAGTAACAGGGGACTGCGGTTCAGGAAGAGGGTTGTCCCGGCCAGGGAGGCTGCCACCATTATTATAGTGCTGGAGGCCTAGGAGGCGCCTCTGGGTGGCCGAGGCCCCGGGTCGGGCTGGGGTCTGGCTGGGCCTCTGCCTCGCATTGGGACCGCTGGTGATGACCCAGTGGCTTCTGCAGGGACGGGCCAGGGGTGTGTGCACCCGAGGAGCACTGTGCTGGGCCATGAGGGTGCACTTGGGACAGGCCTTGGTGGGGACAGCCAGTCTTCATGTGTCATGGCGGAGAGGGGCTCAGAGTCTGCCCGTCACTTCCCAGCCCACCTGGCCAGGCTCCCTCACCCCAGGAGGGCTGCACACTAACTCCAGCTGCTTCCAAGGCAGGTAGCCCCAGCTGCCGTCCAAACACCCACATCCTCTTCCTTGTCTGGAGCCCGGAGGAGCTAAAAATGCACCAGCCCGGCCCCAGGAAAACAAACAGAGCTTCCCTCGCCTTTGTACACAGCCCTGGCCGAGGATGCAGAGTGGGTTGGGGTCTGTCTGCCTGCCTTCCTGGGTCTCCCTGGAGCTCAGTGTGGGGCAGCCAGAGCCTTACCAGGGTGGGGACTCTGTGAGGACAACCAGCCGGGGTAAAGGTGGCTGCCCTTCCAGCCTCAGGCCCCTTTCCTAGCCCAGGCTCTAGTGCTCAGGAACCAGGGAGTTGTAAGGCTGCACTTGTGTGTTCATGCACACGCAGCTTGCCATCACAATGACTGACATGTGTGCAAGGCCCATTGGGTGCTCTCAGCACTGAGGAAGTATTAACTCTTCTAACCCAATGAGGCGAGGGCTATTGTTCCCATGCTTTACAGATGAGGAACGCAAAGCTCTGAAAGGTTACAAGATTTTCCCAAGGTCACACAGCTAGCGAATGGGTAGAGCAGCGCTTTCACCAATGTTCTTTCTCTCTGACCGGAAGACTCTCTTGCTCTCTCTGGGCCTCTCTTTGCCTATCTGTAAAGTGGGCCCACATGATGGCAACACTTTCCTCCTCAGGTGACTGTGAGGTGGCCCAGAGAAAAAGGTCAGAAAGTGCTTTATCCACTGGCAAGGCCTTCTGAGCAGGGAGCTGTGGGAGGGGACAGTTAGGGGGATGGGAGACTGGCGGCACCTAAATGGTGTAGGGGCGGAGCACAGGCTCTGCCATCACGCAGGCCATGGCTGGAGAGCGCCAGACCGCGTGGCCTTGGCAGCCTCACTTCCTCCTCTAGCAGGCGGGAAAAGGAAACTTGCCTGGGACAGTTGGTGCCAGCGCTTCGGTACAGAGCAGGGGCCTCAGTACACAGCATTCTCAGCCCTCTGGACTTGTGGCCCTGGGACTGAACTCACCTCCTTCCGCAGCATTTCCTCCCCCGGCCCCACGGGAGGCTGGCCTCGACTCCAGGGCTGAGAGGGTCTTCCTGGAGAGGACCTTGGATGCAAATGAACCCAGTTTAAAAATCCCGGGTCCTGGCAGGCCCCACCCTGCACCTACCAGGGCCCACAGCCCGCTGCTTTTCCTGCTTGGTTCAGAACTGTTAGAGGCCAGGAGGGGGTGCGCTTGGAGCATTCTGGGGGCGTGGCCCACCTCAAGGCCTTGAGAACACAGTTCCTCTGTGATGGGCTGGGGCCCCCCAGCTCTGACACTCCAGGTTCTTCTTTGGATTACTGGAAGGTGTGATGCCCCCAAAGCCCCCGTGCACCTGAGTTTAAAGACTCATGCTGCAAACCCCTCCCCACCTCCTACCACCTTTTAGGCCTGTCATCTCTGTGCCAACTGACTATGATTCAGAGGGAGAAACAGGTAAGGCGTTTACTCACTGACTCCTTCCTTCAGCCGACACTTATTGAGCAACTACTATACATGGGAGCTGAAGCCTCTGCTCACCATGAACTCAGTCTAGGGCTAGACTGACAGATGAGCAACATGGAGACAAGACCGTGGGGTCCAGAGTGAGAGCCAGGCCTGCGGTTTTCCCAGAGGAGGTGCCAGCTACCGGAGCAGCAGAAGGAATAGGTTGGGGTGTGGGAGGAGAGCTCCTACCTGCAAGAAGAGGGCGCAGGGCAGAGTTCCCCTCAGCATGGCATTTGCGCCTAGGTGCCAGGTAGCCCCTGATGCTTTTGCTGGTCCCTGTCAGGCCTCCTCTGTCTGTGCAGACACCTGCATCGCCAGGATTTGTGTTCCTGAGCTCTGGGACTGGGTCATTCCACCCCGCAGTGCTTTACACAGGGCCTGCACACACTCGGTGCTCAGTGCTGCTGCTCGGTAAGGCCTCGCCCCACCCTCACCCCAGCCCAAGCCATGCTGTGTGCCCCTGCAGTCCTCCGGACCAAAGGCAGAGTCCTGCTGGGCCACCCTGTTCCGGCGGCAGAGCTCGTTCACATACTTTAATGCATTAGTGCTCATGCCTTGGTGGCTTGGGTCACTATTGAGCCAGCATGGGAGCACAAGCCTGTAATCCCAGCCGCTCAGAGGCTGAGGCAGAAAGATTACAGGTTCCATGCCAGGGCTGGGGATGTAGCTCAGTAGCACCACACCTGCATGGTAAGCTATGCCCGGTACCAAAAAAGTTTTAAAAAGTAGAAAATAAAGCCGGTGGCATACACTTGTAATCCCAAGAGGCTCGGGCAAGAGGGTTACAAGTTTAAAACAAAACAAAACAAAAAATAAGTTCCAAGCCAGTCTGGGCAACTTAGTGAGACCGTGTCTCAAAATGAAAGAAAAAAATAAAAAGGTTTAGCTAGTGGTAGAATGTGCTTGCCTAGTATGTGTGAGACCCTGGGCTGAACACTGGTACTACAAAAAAAAAAAAAAAAAAAAA